TTACGGCATACGGTTAATAAGATGACAGGCTGTAAGAACAGCATCACCCCAAAACCGTTTAGGCATACGCATATGAAACAAAAGAGCACGAGTTACTTCTAAGAGATGTCGATTCTTACGTTCTGCAACTCCATTTTGTTGTGGAGTATAAACACATGAATTTTAATGAATAATTCCTTTATCACTAAGATATGTATCAAAGGGAGTTGAAGAATATTCCTTAGCATTATCAGAACGTAGAATACGAATTGGACATCCAAACTGAGTTTTGATTTCTTTGCGAAATTTTTGAAAAATTAAAAATAACTCAGAATGATCTTTCATTAGAAACAACCAAGTCAGGCGAGAATAATCATCCACAAATGTCACAAAATAATGAAATTTATTGATTGAAGAATGTTTTATTGGATCCCATACATCTGAATGAACCAAATGAAAAGGACTAGAAACACGATTATTAACCCTAGACTTGAAAGACACGCGATGGTGCTTACTAAGTTGACAAACTTCACATGACAAGAATTTCAAATAACTAAGACTAGGAACTTGACGCTTCAAAACTTGAAGTGACGAGTGACCAAGGTGACAGAGCCACTAGAATGGAGACAGAGAAGACTGAAGAGCCACAGGAGAAGGTTCGAAATCAAAATAATATAAGCCACCGGCTTCATACCCCGTACCAATCTTCTTCTTCGTCTCGAGATCCTGAAACACACAAGAAGTAGGATCAAATATAACAGAGCACTGGAGAGATTTAGTAAGCTTACTGATAGACATTAAGTTAAAGGGAAACTGCGGAACATGTAAAACAGACGAGAGAGACAATGAATCACTAAGTTGAGTTGTCCACAAACCTGAAACCTGAAACCTGAATGGATGAACCATTAGCAAGAGTAACACTTTGAGAAGTAGGTACAGAATGAAAATCAGATAGAAGAGAAGAACATCCGGTCATATGATCAGATGCTCCAGTGTCTATGATCCAAGGACTGCGAGTGGAAGACAATAGACATGTGTGTGCAGTACCTGAATGGGCAAAGGTAGCCGTGGAAGATGAATTAGATGCTTGCTTATAAGACAAAAACTGAGTATACTCATCCCGTGGAACATGAACTGTATCTGATTCAGCTACATTGTGCGATCCAGAAGCGACATCATTCGGAGAAGAGGAAACTTGATTTGCATAACTAGATGGTTTCCCATGAAGGTCCCAACAAAAGTTCACAGTATGATTAGAAAGACCACAATGAGTACACTTTCTTAATTCCCTGCCACGGCCACGTCCTCCACGTGAATCACGACCACCACGTGCGGAGCGTCCCCCACGACCTCCACGGTAAGTATTATGTTCACCCTTTGAAACTACCAATGCTGAACGCTCACCACTCTGTCCAGTATTCAAATTTGAGGTATCACTTGCTAGTGTAGCACGCTGAAGTCGAGAAAACACCTCAGCAAGAGATGGAAGTGTTGGACTGCTCATAATCTGTGCACCAAAAGGCTCATATGCTGATGATAAACCAGTAAGAAAACGGACAACATTAAAGTCCGCACGCTGTTGTTGCATACTGCGAACATCAGCAGTAATGGGCTGATACATATTCAGCTCTTCACAGACTCCCATAACTTTGGAATAACACTCTTCTATACTTTGAGTACCTTGTTCAAGATTGAAGTACTGTTTACATAGCTCATAAACACGGGTGATATTACCTGTCCCAGAATATAACTGCTGCAATCTATCCCATATCTCCTTGGCTGTATCCAAATAAAGTAACGTTGAACTAATTTGGGGTTCAATACTGTTTATCATCACAGAGATGATCTGAGCATCTTCCTTTTCCCATGCATCAAAGGAAGTATCAGTTGCCTTGAGCTTCTCTTTAGTCAAATGAGAACCAAGACCTCTGCCTTTGAGAAAAATGGCAACAGATTTGGCCCACAATATGTAATTCTTCCCATTGAGCTTAACTGAAGTCATGGGAGAATTAAGACTGTTCGTGGGTGAAAGCAAATCTGAACTTGAACTTGAGGCCATGTTGAATTCAGCAAAACAGAGAAGAAAAAGGAGAGAGAACAAAAATTCTGTATTTTGGCCGAACCTGGAAGCAAGTCTGAAACGGGTCGGATTCTGAAACCGGGTCGGATCCTGGTACGGGCCAGGTCCTCAAACGGGTCCGGCCCTGATATGGGCCGGATCCTGGTACGAGTCGGATCTTGGAACCGGACAGGATCTGGACTATCCCTGGTTTAGTAAATCGGGATTGGAATAGCACAACCGTGTAGCCAAACACGGGTCTTCTTCTTCACTCCGGTAAACAATACGGCGGAGGCGACGGCAACCCAACCACGAGCAGCGGCCGAATCAACTTCCGGCCGAAAACCAATCTCACCTCTGCAAATCGAGACGAAGAAGCTTCTGCCGGCGACGACGAAGAAGCTTCTGCCGGCGACGACGAAGAAGGCAGAGACGACGACCACCAAAGAGGAGCTGCCGGTGACGATGAAGAAGGCAGAAACGACAACGAACACACTTCAGATCTGATTACGGTGAACAAGAAATTGCCAACAGAGACATCAAAACCACAATCACGATTCCGATCGTGATTCAAATCGTGATTCAGATCATGATTCACCACCAACCCACCTACTAACTCTCACACTCATGATCATTGTGCTCTGATACCATGTTCAAAATCAAAAGAGAAAGAGAGAGAGCAAAAGCGTATTCTCTGTGTATACAAAAACAACTTACAAAACCTAATAAGCCTATGTAGGCTTATATATGTTACAAGGTTTACATAATAACACAAACAGCCTATTAACTAAACATAATTACATAACGACCCATTATTATATATATAACTTCTAACACTAATGAAGTTCTTATATCATAGTTTCCTCATTTTCAAACACCATGTCACACCATTAGAGATACCATGACTAAAAGTACATATAGGTTCTTTTGTAGAATGTTTGATGAGTTGGATCTTTTCAACTTAATCTTTTGTCTTTGCTCTTATTTGTCACTCCAACCGTAGATATCTTGCACTTGGATTGTGCACCCTTTCGCACCAATTAATACTTAGCTTAAATATGAGGGAAAAGAGAATGAAAATGAAGGAAGATGTAGAAATCATAGAAGATGCAACACATGGGTTGCACAGAAAGGAGTTCATAACCAGACTACCAGTATCACAGTTTCTCAAATTTCATCCAGTATGACTTTTAATTATGAAAATCTGCACTTGATGAGTTCAGCCATTGGGTTAAGTTCCATTGCTGACTACTGAACCATGATCTTTTAACAATCTCCAGTAGTGCCACAGAACTTGGGAAGAAATTTTAGATGGAGCATCTAGCTGATAATGTAATTAAACACAGGATAGTCATAACCCCACGCACACAAGACGAAAAAATAGAAGATAAAATGGACCCAACAGTAATTATGCACCACCGTTCCAACCTATTTGAATCCTTCTATGAACCCATCACTGCAACCGCTTATCCAAAGAATAAGTAGGTGCTGATTATATGAGAAAATCAGGAGAACGACTCTAAGATCTACTTGGAAATGTTGCAGTTTGTGACTGAAAATCAAGGTTTGATTCTGTTTATGCAATATACTTAAAGCCAACACAGGCTCACTGTGTTCCTTTATATTGCGTCAGCTTTCCGTTGCATGATGTAGTCATTAGAGATTTCAACCCGAGTGTGAGATGCATTCATTAGACTCCACAATTTATTAGAAAAAAAAAAAAAAAAAATGCTAAATTGAAATATTCAATTGGTAGTTGGTCCACTTACTTTATTTAAGGTAAGGTTGAGTCCAAAACTAGCTTCTACCATAAATTAACCCAGAAATGTTTTCTATTTTCCAGAGACCATGTGTTTTGAGCCTTTGTGCAGCATAGTAATGTTCATTTCTGCATCGTCCATACTTCCCTCAGTTCCTGTGTAACGTAGCATGGTAGTGTTGATAACATTTGACCCCAAACACAAACACTTGAGCCACTCTGGCCACAACAAGAACTATTAGGAACTTAAATTTTGCTTTTCAATATATAAATATTAACCTTATAACAATATCTTAGAATATTCAATAAATAGTTACTGTTTTTGTTCAGGACTGTCTCAACTATATAATTTATTAGGACTTATTGATGGATTTTAATAGAGAGAAACGAATAATTGGTTTCCCAATCCTTATCCAGCAAGGGATTCAGTCTAAGGGCTCTATAGAAGGGGTTTGGAGTTTCACGGTAGGAATCTGACAGCACCCAAGGTAGAAAGATCCAGCGGGGACCATGTTTGGTGTGAGAGATTTCGCGAGGTAATCCTTTACATGAGAGTTGAAAGTAATTCTACAAGTCACTTATTTACGGCTTTGGATATCATATCCATTTAACAGAGTTTGGTTTCAATTTTGCTTTGTAGTCTTTAAGTTTTTGGTTGGATAAATTTCACTGTTTTCTGGAAAATATTTACCGTAATCTCATTATTCTAGTAAAGTCCCATTAATCATCCCTATCTGTGGAGTAGCCTTACTGGTGATCCATGATAGATCATTATGTTCTGTATTTGTCTTCTTGTTACATTTTCACATTATTTTTTGCTTACCAACACACCCGAATTAATATTTATGATTCTGCAGTAAAGCAACAACTGGTATCAGAGCTTGGACCTACTTTCACACAGATTTCGAGAGAGTGAATTTAGCTTACTGCGCTGCTTGGGAACCTTCAGAGTATGCAATCCCACTGCCTTCAACTAGCCAAAACAAGTGAAAAAAACAGGGCAAGGAAAACAAATAGCGTACCAGGCCTAAGAGGACACCTATTAAGCTATTCTTCTTATAGGGGATTACTTTTGAAAGTCATTTTCCACTTACAGTAATTGTTTCTACTTACTTATCAACAACAATATATATAATTGCTTCTACCCTTGGAAAGAAAATCAACTTATCAGTGAAACCTCAACAGAAGGTCGAGATTACTAACCTCAGCCACAGCAACCATTCTTTGAGATCTTTCCTCACGAAGTCTTGTGAATGATCAATATTTGGAGCAGCATGGAAATTATCTCCGCTGCTCTTGTTGCCCCTCCCCTGTATGACAAAAGCAAAGTAGTTTACACATCCCATAATGTTCATGCAACATAAGCAGAAGTTCCACAGTTTAAAATCATGCATGTCAGTTCTTATAAATAAAAAATAAAAAAATCATGCATGTCAGTTAACAATCTGGAGAGGATTTCTGGAAGTTGCAAGTTGCTCAGTTATTAGAATAGAACTGCTGGAGTTTGATATATAAAGTTTGGCCTATTCCATAACAGCTTATTTGCCAAGTGGTCCTTTGGTTCAAGTCTCCCCCAATCCGTCTCTATGTTTGCACTTTGCACTCTGCTTTATTTGCCTCTCTCTCCATGTGATAGTACGTGAGGAATGGTATCGGAGTTTAATGTAAATTGTTTGGCCTAACCCCTCACAAGTTAATCTTTTGAGGCAAGTGGTATCCTAACAAGAAGGGGGGAGGGGTTGGAAGTAACAATGTGACACTGGTCTGGTTCACATAAATAGAATGTGCACTAGCCAACAAATAAGTTTAGTCATTCTACTGATGCTCTGCAGCTGCATTCAATAGGTGCATTACAAGCAAACAAATCAGTCTTAAAGCATATACACAGCAAGCAAACACATAAATCAGATGTTCAAGTGATGTGTGGTACTTTGAATCGTATTACAAGAAGAAAATAGAAATTGACGGCAAACTTCACAGAACTAGGTAATTATTTCTGATTTAAATTTATACTTGTGGAAGACAACTAGTTAATCCTTCCAACGGAGGCATGGAGAATTTTATGAAAGGTATGTATTGAATGCTTAACAAAGTTGTTTAATAAAATTCTAAGAGAAGAATTAATGCCAAGTGAGTGGAGGAAAAGCACAATAATACCAATTTATAAATATAAAGGAGATATAAAAAATTATGGAAATTATAGAGGAATTAAATTGATGAGTCATACAATGAAATTGTAGGAAAGGATAATTGAACAAAGATCAAGGAAGAAACATCAATATCTGATAACCAATTCAGATTTATGCCACCAGGTAGATCCACTATGGAAGCCATATCCTTAATACGACAACTAATAGTAGAATATCAGAGTAAACAAAAAGACTTGTATGTGGTTTTCATAGATTTAAAGAACATGTGCCAAGGGGCATAATTTGGTGGGCTCTACCGAGAAAACGAGTACCTATAAAGCTTATAACTCTTATTCAGGATGTATAGTGAGACATTGACTAGAGGTCATTCTACATGTGGCGAAACTAGTGAATTCCCTATAAAAGTGGGACTACAGCAAGGATCGGTGTTAAGTCCATACCTATTTGCAATAGTGTTAGACAAAATAACAAAAGATCGTGAAGATAACATTCCATGGTGTATGGTATTTGCGGATGAAATAGTCTTAGTAGATACCTCTAGGGAAGCCTTGGCAACAAAATTGGAAATGGGAGAAAGACACTAGAAGCAAGAGGCTTAAAATTTTGTAAAACTAAAACAGGAATATATGGAATGTAAATTTGATAAAATAACAGATGAAACAATATAAATATCACAATTGAAGACCAATAAGTTACTCAAAATAGCTAATTTCGTTACCTAAGATCAATATACAAAAAGATGGGGAGATCGATGGTGATGTAGTAAGTAGGATTGGAGCAGAGTCGACAAAACGGAGGCAATCTAGTGGTATCCTTTGTGACAAAAGAAAAATTCTATAGAACAGTTATTGGACCAGCTATATTGTATGGAGTAGAGTGTTGGGCGTTGAAAAAAAGGAAAGAAAAAAAATAAACCATCCATGCAGCGGAGGAAATGAGTATTGCTACGATGGATGATAGGAGTAACTAGAAAAGATAAGATTAATAATAAACATGCGAGGGAAGCATTAGGTATAGCACTTATAAACGATAAAATGAGAAAGTAGACTTGGGTGGTATGGCCATATTCATCGTAGACCCGATGATGCACCAGTTAGAAGAGGAAGAATTGTTTGACTAGAAGATCAACGACAAAGAGGCCAACTAAAACTTATGTGGGAGGAAGTAATTAAAAACTGTTGGAGAATATTATTGTAGGAATGATTAAAGCCCTTAAATCACTCCTTAACAAATTGATATGAGTGAATCATGGGAGTGATTTTAGGAATGTTTCCTATATCATATTTACCACATTTTTGTATTCTTTCACCTATAAATAGAGGTGATCAATGTATACAAAAATTAAGAGAGATTGTAATGAAAAAAATATAGCTCTTTGGACTTTGTGAGTCGTGGATGTGAGCCCTAGTGGCTTAACCATGTTATATTCTTGTGTTTCTCATGTTTAATTTCTCTCTTCAACTTTTATATCTTTTAACATGGTACAGAGCAGGTTTTTTTTTTTTTTTTTTTCCTAGTTGGTACTCAAGAACACATGCCTCTACCGAAGTTCAAACCCCTTACCTCTCTTTGGAAAGTAGGGGCCTACTACCGCTAGGCCACTGGCCCGTTGGTACAGAGCAGGTTTATCATACCCTAGTAACCCTACTCTATACTCTACTCAACTCAGATCTTTCAGATCAACTCGTCTCGAATCTCCGGATCAACTCGTCTTAGACTTTCGACAACTTTGTATTTAATTTCAAGTTGGACATTTGAGTTGAGAGTCTTGGAGATTAAAGCCCTTAAATACAAAGTGGTATGAGCAAATCATGGGTGTGATTTTAGGAATGTTTCCTATATAATATTTATCACCTGTTTTTATTCTCTCACCTATAAATAGAGGTCATCAATGTATACAAAAATTAAGAGAGAATGTAATGAAAGAGATGTAGCCCTTTGGGCTTTGTGTGCTGTGGATGTAAGCCCTAGTGATTGAAACAAGTTATTTTGCTATTCATGTTTAGTTTCTCTCTTCAACTTTTATATCTTTCAATAAAAACGATTTTAAAAAATTAAAAATTAAAAGAAGACATAGTACATAATAGGAAAGAATGGAAAAAGAGAATTAATATGGTTGATCTCTTTCATATGGGATAAAGGCAAGGATATGATGATGGAAGGAAATAAAAATTAAAAAGATCCAAATAGAGTGGAAGGTACAGATGCAAAAACAAAAATACAATATATTTTAAGTACCATACAACAGATTCGCATTTGAGCATTGAGGGTTTAAGATTTCAAGAATTCAGTTACTAGACCCACCCCGAGTAATGGAAAAGTATGGTGGGCCAGGAAAAAAAAAAAAAAAAGATAGCAGATATATGATAAGACATCGAAGTGATATCATTACTTTTAACTGACACATTACACCTACACATGAAATTGTTTCCTGAGCTGTTTGAGTTTTCAAACAACATCTGAAACTACAGATGACATGATCTAATTTTCACCACGACTATGATATTGTGGTTACTAAACTTAAGTTTAATGGCAAAATTATTACTACCTCATGGCACAATGAGAACTGGAACAAAGTTAGGTGTCTCTTTGTATGTCATCCATAAGCCAATCCATTATCTTCAGTATTAAATGTGAGATACAGACACAAAAACTTGACAATTATCATTGGTTCATCTTACTCCACTGGCTTTCTATAGATGGTAAAAGTCAACATCCATGATTGAACTAGTTAATAAAATATTGTTATCAACCATCATATCGATCGAGGTTGCCTGGTTCAGCGGTGCAACGCTTGAACATCAGTGCCATTAGTGCAAGTTCGAGCCGCAAAGCAGCCACTTTGTGAAATACCAAGGTTAGATCTGTCTCGATTCCTCATTCCCCTAAACCTGCTGTAGTGGGACAAGAACCGAGTAACATTCCTCATCAACCATCATATTGAAGTTGCAAAATACAAAGATATCGAATATGTAGTTTTCTCATAATACAACTGAAATTGGTATCAAGTCATGGAAATTTTCCACAACATTAAAAATCACTGAAGTGAATCAATACAAGTATATGAGCGATATGGATCATGGTGTCACAGAAAAGATGCATGCATAACACACTTGCAAGAAATCAAGTGCAAAAGGTACAATGAGAAGTTGAGTAAAATTAGTTTATATTATGATAGTAATACACTCACCCCATGCACTTCCAAGAGGAACATAAAGTAAAAATCAACAAGGTTGCCTTCAATATCATCAAAGTTTGTGTTGGAAAGGAGCATTTTCCTATTTATATAACAGATCATATGGTTGGGCAAAAAAAATGGAAGACTTTGCACCTACTTAAATTTCCTAGGACATGCAAAAAGTGATAATATATCTTGTCGTAATAAAATAAATATAGAAGCTTATCGTTCATTAGTAGGAAGGAAAACCTTATGCTGCAACATCTGTTATATGTTGGCCAATACCTAGTATTTATCAGAAATTAGATCGCCAAAATCTAGATGTAGACAACTATATTGTCAGGGAATTTGATATATTGTGCGGATATTCTTAAAATTATAATATCTCCAGCTAAAAGGCTAAAACGAGATCCACCAGTCATGTTCATCTTGACAAGAGCTGACTACATGTCATGATTATAATCTCACCTATCTCATCGAGGTTTCATCCCATGGATTGAACTACTGGACCTGGACTTTTACAATCTATAACAAAGAAGTATCACCTGGAAATGTGGATCATCCGCAACAACTGCACGATCATCCCAATTTAAACGCCCACCAAAAATATTCCAAACACCATTTTGATTTTTATAGTGTGCGCAGCGGTGATTTAAGACAACATCTCCAAGAACCTTGATACCAGCTTCGTGGAATTTTTTTACAAGAACCTTCAGTTCATCCATGCTTCCATATCTAACACATACACAGTAACAGCTGTCAGTCATATTCATAGGATCCAGGTGTACAATAAGTTATAACTATTTTCCTTCCAATTGAAGAGAAATAGGGAGAGGGATACGAAGGCTACAGAAAGACTTTTCAGGTGATTCAACTCAACTCAACTAAACTCGTCAAAGAAAATTTGTTATCAAATATACTCCAAAAAATAGAAAGACAAATGGATTTTAAGGTCCAAAGTTCAATGCTTAATGTCGATCACATATGAACAAACAACAAGCAATGAAATAATCCCAATTCTTTCAGTCTCTAGTTCAGCAACAAGAATTGTCAATTGTAATATAAGAAAGTTGAAAAGAACAAAATCTAAAAACAACTGAGTTGATATTCCCAGTGAATGACCAATTTTTCACCTACAACATCTAAAACAAAGAGAAAATATTCGAACATGGAAGTGATGGCACAAGTGTACGAAAGGACGAGATGCATTACGAATTTATTTACAAAAACTGCTATAAAAGTTTTGGAACCATTTGTAACTACATACCAATGATTTGTATTAAATGTAGGACGGAAGTGGCAGCATGAAATACCACAATAAAATCTCAAAACTGTAGCTCAGGCTTAACCCTTAAGTTCTGTATCAAATTTTATGTAAAAGCTAGTACAGCATACAACACTTACTAAAAAGACTGGCTGCTGTATGATATGTAAGAAAAAAAGATCATAAAGGTGAAAATTAAGAGTATGACAAGTATTTTCTTAAAAAAAAAAAAAAAAAATTAGATGGTGAGCTAAAGATAAGGTTTAATAAATGAAATGAACAACTAACTAGGGATGGGATATATAGTCAAAATTATACCTTCTAAATTCAGACTACAGTGAACAAAACCATTTGATAGCAATAGAATAATCATCATAATGGGCTTGACAAGGAAGCAATTCAGCTTTTCTAGGTTGTTCATCCTAAGACAATACATTTTTGTGCACCTTTCTTTATTTCTTCCAAAAGATAAAGTGGAGTATTAGATTTGAAAAATAAGCATCGAGAATGTGTAGAAATCTCTGTCTAAATTACTATATTACCTGGAATTCAAGTTATATAAATCCTTAGGCATGTAGCCTTCAGGAGAAACAGATTCTGTGGGTGGAGGTAACCAGACAACAGTAAAACCAAGTGAAGATAATTCTGCAGCTTTTTCATTGAGCTCCATATACCATCTTCCAGATTTATGAGACTCCCAGTTAAATCCTTGGCACAGGATCTCAAAACCTGAGCCTGTTCCTGAACATATTTTTTTAGCGGGTTTTAGTGCCTCCAGTGCCTCAGTTTCCAGTGCCTTGGATTCCTGTTCTACAAACGTCGGAATCGAGCTTCTGAAGATGCTATAGGCTTCCGCTGCCAGCTTTTCAATTTCTTGAAGAATGCTTTCTTGTGCTTCTTTGCTTTTTGTATTTTGACGCTTCTCGGAGGAAATTCCAATCACTAGATTCCTTATTTCATTGATGATTCCGTCAGTATATGCAGTATCAGAAACTGCTTGATCTTTTTCCCCTGTTGTCTGTGAAGAAGCTGATTTCTCTCCTTCAGAAAATTCCTTCAATCCCTGACCTTCAGATTGACCATCTCGAGATTGAGAAAGAGGTATATGGAAGTCATTTTCCATAAAATTCAACCACGTCTGTTCTTTTATCTTGAGCACAAACTGGAACGCCACAAATCCTTCATCTAACGTAAATAATCCCCAACTACCATGTCCATCCTCTTTATGCTGCAAAGCAGTATGCACGAGTCATGCATAAACGAGAACAAGAAAAAGCACAGCCATTTTTTACCAGAAAATTTTGGTCAGTTTCAGAGTGTGATGCACAATTTTTTAGTTGAAAGAATAATTATAAGTCAGGTTCTCTTTAACTAATATTAATACAAAAAATAAAATCCTTCAAGTGCTTCATAGTATTTCTCTGAGGCATTAAAATTTACGTCTTACATTAGTAGAAAACTTTGTAGAAACTTAAGATATTCCACCAGATTATAAGAAAAAGGGAAACAAAAGTTAGTAATCTGAATCTTTTTAAGGATATCTGCAAGCATTAATATGCTTATGAGGTACTTATCCAAAATAATAAATAAATAAAAATAATAATTTACGATGCTTATAAGATTTACTTAAAAGGCATACAAGTGCACCTACTGTCCTACTCCTTCAGAAACAAAGAAGCTTTGAGTTTGTCTTACAGTTGTTTGTCTTTAATTAACCTTGAAACTTCTCAAGTGAACAAGAAAATCAGTTTTTGACATCTTCTTCATGCAAATTACAAGACTTGGCATGTTTGCAGCTGGAAATTCTTTATTTAAATCAGTTTAATTATTGGCATTTCCTTTAAAAGCATAAGCTCAGAGAGCATGTAAGTATTTATATCATCAATATGCCTGCTGCATGTGAGACAGTCGGATTCGGACCCAAGACCTTTCCTGAGATAAAATAGAAGCAAACTGAAATGAGAAAATACATTCCCTCTGAATAATAGAATTTATAATAGACAAGGCAAAATTACAGTAGCTCTTTTCTTCCACAACTTCTAATCTGTTAAAATCCCCCCTTGAATGTACAAGGATATCCACATGCCCAGCTTTGCTGAAAAAAACTCTGTCATCTCTTCTAGTCAAATGTCCCCAAGTTGGTCTCTTGTCCTCAAAAACAGTGTAGAAATAAGACACTGCATTCTTATCTCACTTATAAAGTCCCTATTTACCACAATGGATTTCCTCTCATAATGTTACACTGGGTTATATGCAAATAATGAAATATAATTAGCCGTCTTACTATCACAGTAAACTCTCGTAGGCCTTTACTATACGTTAGGTATATGAGTGTTAGCATATATGATACCACGATTTATGGTATTACTTACCATAATAACAAAGATTTGACTATGCGTATGTTAGCATATATGATAGCCACTATTTATGGAACGACTTACCATAATAGCAGAGATTTGATTATGCTATAGAATATGCCATAGAATATGCTTTAGAATAAGTTGTGATTTGATTTAATTTCCTTTCTTGTAATATGAGCATGTGTCTATAAATACTAGAGCTGTGAATGAGTAATTCATATGATTCAAGCATTTACGCAATTCTCTCCTTTCTCTTCTTTTTATATTTCTCCTTGGTATCAGAGCCAACACCTTTCAGCAGCCTTGCTATTTGTGCGACAGCTACCTTAGGCTGTTTGTGACATAGTGTTACGTTGCCTACACATGTTTTTCTGTGTTGCTATTTTTGTGATTGAAAACAAATATTTTTAAGTTTTACAATTTCTTTTTTACTCTTCTAGAGTTGGGTAAATTGGGATAGTTGGTTTCCAACACCTAGAAGGGCTTGGGTAAAAAAAAAAATTAGTCTACAAAGAGGTTTCGGATATTAAGGAGGAGGCTGTCTGGCTATATGTAAGCAGGCAGCGTTCCTTAAAAAAGGTATGTATTTGGATTTTTCGGGAATGGTCTGAGGAGACATTGTTATTGTTTATGGTCTGAGGAGACCCTTTGATTTATTAACAGAATTTGTGGTGTTTTTGGAGTTTTTTATCGCCGTGTGACAAATTATGTCAGATCCAGGGTCCTCAACTGTTAATTCTCTTGGCTCAAGTTCTGTGGGTGGTGGTGCATTTTTCCCACCAACTCATCGGAAAATCCAGGACTTCAAATCACCACAGTGAAGTTGGATGGTTCCAACTATTTGATTTGGGCACAGTTTGCCAAGATGTTCATTGGTGGCAAAGGTAAGATTGGCTATATTACTGGTTCTGAGAAAGAGCCAGCTGAGTCAAAGAAGGCATATCCACAGTGGTTTGCAGATAACGCTATGGTTATGTCTTGGCTAGTCAATTCGATGCAACCAAACATAGCTGTTGGCTATATGTTTATGAAGACTGCTAAGCAGATTTGGGATTCAGTTCAACGCACTTATTCTCAGAGGCAGAATAATGCACGAATTTTCCAGCTAGAGCGAGATATCACCAGGATTTCTCCGGGTGACTTGACAGTTTCAGGTTACATCACCAAGCTTCGTGCTATTTGGGAGGAGATGTCATATTATGATTCCTTCCACTCTTAGAAGGATCCAATGATGCAATTTTATATGCAGGAATTGTGGAGAAGAATCGAGTGTTTCAGTTTCTTACCGGGTTGAACGATGATTTTGAGTATGCTCGTGTTCATTTATTGGGCTTATCTCCATTCCCTACTCTTGAGGATCCATACTCCTATGTGTTGTCAGATGAGAGCCGTCGGACTCATCCATTAGGTGTTGCTTCTGTTGATCGTTCTGCTATAGCAGTTCGGGTTCCCAACCTATCAGGAACTTCACTATCCCAGTCAATTCAGAGCACTTCCACCAGTCCTCCTCTGGGACGACAACGCGGACGGTGTGACCATTGCGGAAAAATTGGTCACATCAAATCTCATTCTTATGCTCTACATGGACGCCCACCGCAACAGAAACAACAGCCTCGATCCTCTACACATTCTGTTACACAACCAATCTCGTTGTCAACTCCTGACAACCCCGCCTCTACATCTTATGCCACAGTTACCTTGACTCAAGCTGATTTGGACAAGTTCAAGCAATTCTTCAACCAAATGGAGGCATCATCTTAGCCAACCTCCACTTATGCCCACTCAGGTACTATTGCGTCTGCACATAGCGTATCTACATCTTCGACACCGTGGATCATTGATTATAGTGCTTCAGACAATATGACTAGTATGTCCTCACTCTTCCAATCTTATAGTATCTGCTCTGGCCAACGCAAGGTCCGCCTTGCGGATGGCTCTCCATCTTCCATTGCTGGGAAGGGTCCACATATCAATTACTCCTTCATTAACTTTGTCAGATACACTTCATGTTCCAAAGTTGACTATAAATCTTATTTTTCTTAGTACTTAGTAGCATTACCAAACAATTAAATTGTAGTGTAACGTTATTTCCCTCTCATTGTATTTTTCAGGATCTGGTGTCGAAACGGACGATTGGCAGTGGGCGTGAAGTGGACGGTATATACCTGTTGGATGCTCCTTTGCCACCTCAAGCACATTCAGCTTCATTTTCTAATATTGTTTCATCTAATAAAGCACAGCTTATGCATTGGCACATGCGTTTAGGACATATTTCTTTCGGTTACTTGAAACATTTATTTCCTTCCTTATTTTGTAACGTGGCAGTGTCAGATTTATCGTGTGAGACATGTCATATGGCTAAACATGTTCGTCAGTAGTAATAAATCTGCTTTAACACCTTTTGATCTTGTTCATTTAGATGTGTGGGGTCCTTGCCCAGTTGCTTCTAGTCTTGGATTTCGATATTTCGTGTTGTTCATTGATGATCATAGTCGTGTTACTTGGGTTTATCTTATGAAAACCAAAAATGAGGTATACACCATTTTTTTAAAAATTTATGACAATCGTTCAGACTCAATATGGTCGTACCATTAAAAAATTCAGATCTGACCAGGGTATAGAGTACACTTATGGGGAGGTACAACAGTTATGTGCAGAATTTGGGATTGAGCATCAGATGGCTAATGTTAAAACTCCTCAAGAGAATGGTCGTTCTAAGAGAGAGAATCGCCATATCCTTGACTTAGCCAGAGCAATCTGCATTGCCATGAATGTTCCCCAGTCATTTTGGGGAGATGCAGTTCTTACCGCTGTTTACATCATTAATACGATTCCTATGATTCTTAACTTTGCAGCCCCACTGTCAATCTTACATCCCAATTCATCTCTTTTTTTTATTCCTCTACAAGTCTTTGGGGGTGTGTGCTTTGTTCAGCAGTTGGGGCAGACTCGTACAAAGCTTGACCCCAAGGCTTTGAAGTGTGTGTTTTTGAGCTATTCTCACTCTCAAAAAGGTTATAAGTGTTACCATCCTCCTAGTCGTCGGCGGTTTATATCCATGGATGTTTCTTTCTTTGAGTATAAACCATACTATAGTGGTTCAGTTGGTTCTCAGAGTGAATGGTTCCCATTGAATATAATGGATGATCACATTCTTCCGTCTTCAACTCCTCTACCATCACCTGTTTCGTCTTCTATGATTCCTCCTCGTGATACCCCTCCAGCAGGGGGAATTGTTCCTTTTTCACAGGTTTATAGTTGGAGACAACAGGTACAAGCTTTTACTCCCAAGATCGACTACCCTGTTCCTTCGGCACTAGCTCCGCCTTCTCAAGCTATTGTTTCGCTTGATGATCGTCTCATTGCTCTTCGAAAGGGTAAACGTTCTTGTACATACCCTATTTCTAATTTTGTTTCTGATTATGCTCTTTCACCCTCCTATCGGAGTTTTCTTGTTTCTGTTGCCTCGGTTCATGTTCCTTCTATTGTTGCAAATGCACTAGCACAGCTTCAATGGCACGATGCTATTTGTCGTTGGGTGTTTACAGTTAAGCATAATCCAGATGGGTCAATTGCTCGTTACAAGGCCCTATTGGTTGCCAAGGGTTATGCTCAGACTTATGGCATAGATTATCAGGAGACTTTTGCCCCTGTTGCCAAGATGAATACCATTCGTGTATAATTTTCCGTTGCTGCAATTCGATCTTGGCCTCTATTGTCAAGAATGCCTTTCTCAATGGTGATTTGCAGGAGGAGGTGTACATGGTTCCTCCTCCGGGCTTTCGTTCTCCTGCTCATTCTGGTATGGCTTGTCGTCTTCTTCGTTCTCTGTATGGCCTCAAACAGTCTCCTCAAGCTTGGTCCGATC